TTCAGACGTGTGCTCTTCCGATCTGTTTAAAAAATGTATACTCAAATCATTATTTTAAATGTATAATTAACGTTAAATAAATATTTAAAAAATATTAAATAAACGTTTAAAAAATGTATACTCAAATCGTTATTTTAAATGTAAAATTAACGTTAAATAAATATTTAAAAAATATTAAATAAACGTTTAAAAAACGTTTTTTAAAAATCATTATTCTAAACGAATATTTAATGAAAAAAAAAATTAAATAAATGTTAAATAAATATTTTTTCCAAAATGAGTTTAGGAAATGAAAATAAAACATTAAAAAAACATTTAAAAAACATTTAAAAAATATTGTGTGCTGATTGGGTTGTGCCAACGAGCCCCGGTTTCCCCTATATATATGCATTATTTGTAAAAGACATTAAAAGAAAAAAAGTATTATTTCATAATAACTAAAAATTCTGAAATGTATAATTAAAAAAAAAAGAAATATTCTAAATTTTAAAATGCTTAAAATAGTAATAACAAAGAACAATGTAAAACGACCTGCTGTTGATGCGCGGTATAGCTCGTCGGTATCGGAACGGGTGGCAGGGATCGCCAGCAGGTTCAGGAGAGAGAGTAGCGGAACAATAACGAAATCGAACGAATTAGGTGTAAATTAATAAAATAAAATATATTCCGAAAATAAAATAAAATAATAGTACATCGAATAATAATTCATCGCAAGATATAAAAGAAACCCGGAAACAATAAGACGTGTAATAAAGATCCGTCGCAATATAAAAGAACCAACGGGATTCGCGGGGGCGGTCCCCTATGCGGATTACAGGATCCGATAGAGGAGCGATAATAATTTAAAAGAAAACGCCGCGGAGAACTAATTATAATAGAAGAAGAAAAGGATAGTCCGCAACTACCCGAAGTATCGTTAGTCTCGGTCGCAATGCCTCACGCCGTGTTTGTTCGCAACTCGAGGCGCGCGCGCGGCGCGAGCGCTCGGTCTAACGACGCGGTCACGCGCTCGTGGCGTGTGCGGGCGTACCCGATTGGTGCGCGCGTACGGCGCGCGGGCCGTACGCGAGTTCGAATCTCCGCGCCCCGGGGGCAAAGTCTAGGATCGTGTCGACGGAAGATAGGGAAGCGAAGCGTCCGAGAAGCGCTCGGATCGAGGCGAAGTAGCGCTTCACCCTTGTATCGTTCCCCCGGGTGTGAGGAATTTGGAGTGGCCCCTGCCGAGAAACACTCAGCCAAGAGCAGAGAAACGCTCTACTCCTGGGTATTTCGGGGCCACTGTGCGGATCGTGTCTGGAGGTCTGCGAACCGGGACGCCACCGAGAATCACTCGGACCGAGGCAAAGCCACTCTTTACCCCGGTGTCGTCGGTTCGTGAGACGGTCAGGAACTGGTAGCCTTCCTGGCTTCGGAGCCCCTTATATACCCTATCATTACGGCATTCGGCCGCGATCGGCTCCGTTCGGTGGTTTCCGGTACCGTTACATGATTTACGGTAACGTCTTTGTCGGCTGGCCTTAAGTTGCCAGCCGACGACCTTTGGAACGCTTAAAAAATATGGGGCGCACCGCGCCTTCTTCGCCCGACGGTTCGTCGGTCGGGCGGCATCCGGCGGTTGTTCGGCCGGGAACGATGCACTTTCGGGGGTGCATCGTTACAATATTATACACATACACACACATACACATATATCTATATATATATTTTATTACATGTATCTTTTTTATATATTTTGCTTTTTCAATATTTTAATTCTTTTTATGTTTTTATTGCTAGTATCCAGGTGCTGTAACGAAAAAAAATTTTATAAATATTTACACATAATTACAGGTAAATGTTAGGAAAACAGAATCTCGATATCATTTTTCACACTCCAAGTGCAGCATTTCATAAAAAACAATACTACTTGCAGCACGCGGCGCTTGAAGTGAGGAAAAACCTTAGACACAAACATATATTATTGGAAGGAGAATAGAGTGCTGAACGTGAAGTCAACATCTGTGCGAGAAAGAAAGGTATAGATTCACAATTGTCTGTAATGCGCATGTGTCATTCAGCCCTTACTCAGCCCGTTATGTTTATTTTCTTATTTTTTGAAATTTAAAACAAAAATTAAACACGGGGTTAAGTGGAGTCTGATTGGCACATGCGCATTACAGACAATTGGGAATCTATACCTTTCTCTCTCACACAGATGTTGGCTTCACGTTCAGCACTCTATTCTCCTTCCAGTAATATATGTTCTAAGGGAAAAACAAATATCGAAGTTTGAATTGTACACTAACACAATAGTTATACTTACGACAATTATATCCTGGTGGCATATATCCCGGCGCCGCTGCGTAGCTAGACGCCGCTGGATATGCCGGTGCCGCTGGATACGCCGGTGCCGCTGGATACGCCGGCGCCGCTGGATACGCCGGCGCCGCTG